GTCCTTTTGGGTTTAATTGGTTGCTGAGTAGCCTCACGTTTGCTCATTTTGCGCAGGAATTGATGTAAAATTGTTGCGTGCATTTTGGTGTGTTCTGTAAGCAGCCAACTCGGAGGCACAATATTTGTGTCCAGGTAATCTGATCAGCACCAGCCTCGTCACTTGAAGAGGGTCAAGTCCGCGGATATGTCGGCTCCTAATCGTCTGGCGCACATTACGCTGAGATCAACAAATGTTTAACGATAAGAACAAATCACTGTTCTTGAAACGAACAGAAAATAAGATTTCTCCAAAAGTGATGTCCCAGGAAATAGAGGGCTGAAGAGACTGTTCCACATTGTTATGGTGCTTTGAACTGAGACAGTCATTCTCATCATTTTTCATTCCCTGTAGTTCACAGCCATGTCGGTTTTACGACATCAAATCCGCTTGATTCGCAACTCGGTGAACTTGGACTTGTGCAACCTGTGACGCGCCGCATGCGGGAAAGTTACCCGGATATGTATGACGTCATGGATACCTCACCGAGCACCCATCTAATTAGCTGCTTTGAGCCCATGGTCAAGTCATGGCAAATATGGCAACGTAATAATTTATGTCTGCGGTGATGCAGCCCCGAATGCCCCAAAGGCATCCGGCAATTGGCACATAAATTTCGCTGCTGATTGCATGTGTAGAACACGAATCATGCTTGGCTGCATTATGCAATCCAGTTCTGGTACACAAAGAGTTCAGCTTATTTAAATAATAGTTTTCTGAGGAAATATAACGAAATATGTCAGTCTGGCAGTCCTCATTTTAGGATAGAACCCCAAGTGTTTCAGGTTCTAGTATATGTGGGCTGCACATTTTGCCTGATAAAGAAATTTGGGAAATGAACAGACCGTGTGAATCGGAATGCAGCCTGTCACGGCTATATGCATTACCCAACATGGGATGGTCATGCAGACATACATTTTCATACTTCTTCCACTTGACACGCCACCCGTCCAGGATCGGTGGGGCTTCCCAAGCGGAGTGTGGGACGGCAAGCAAGCCGGCCATGGTCAGGAATCCCCCTCGCCAACTCAAACAAGACCGTTCGGCCGAACGGGGCTTGAGGGAGAACGCGGTCCCGCCCGACGCTCCGGCCGATGGGCTCGCACCGTTGACCGGATCTGCGGGGGACCGACAGTGTGCGTCACCCGGCCAGGTGGATTACAATGGGAAAAATTACGCTACCGTTTTCCACTGGGAACGGGCTTGACTTCTTCCGAAGTTGGCCATCACGTCAAAGGGAAACGCCTCCCCTCCACCGGCTGATCAAGATGATTGGACGCGAAAAGCCAGATCACCAGCGGAACATCTTGCGCGCAGGCGCGTTTGTCTGACATGAAGATATGTGCCGCTCCGCCCCAAGAACCCCACCGCGCCGGCGCCGCCGTCACCCCAGCTGGCATCAGAAGCGCCACGCCACGTGGGAGCTGGACCGGAGGGGGACGCGCAGGGCTCGCCCGAGGCGAGAGTGGGCGGGCCTTGCGTCGTCGCCAGCGACGCAACGCCCGAGACCTGGCCCGGGGGCACGTTGGGGGCTGAACTCTGGAAGCAGCGCGGGCCGGCCCGGCGACGCATTGGACGGAAGGGGCGAGGCGGCAGATGTATTGGCTGGTGCTCAAGGCGAAGGTGGGCTGACGGAGTTGGAAGAATCACGGAAAATTACGGATGGCGAAAGAGGTCTACAGGGGAGTCTTTCGTGGCAGCCCCGAGGGGGCGCTGGAGGAAAGAGGAGTCTCCCGGGGAGTCCTGAGGAGTGAGGAGCGCGGAGAAGTGGTAATGACAACCGGGCGGCGACATCCGGCCCCGCGGACAGCGGGACACCGGCGACAACATCCACGTGTGAGTCCACAGGCTGTTGTCCCAATCCTTACCGGCCCATGGACGTCTGACGCTCCCGTGTCTCTCAACCCCTCCCCACCGGGCGGGCGCGGGCCATGGCCACCTATTCCCTCCCGTGTAGTTGGGGAAGGGGGGGGGGGGCACTGGCCAGGCAACCCTCCCGGCTGGGCAATGCATCTCGGGCGCACGCCTGTAATTAAGGGGGGGGGGGGCGCGACGTGTCACGCGGTCCGCCTATGTCTCGCGACTTTTTTTTGTAAATACGGGTGGCAGTCTCCGTTTCAGAGGGTTTAGCGTGGAAGCGATGCTGGAAGTATTTTGGCCAGGCGGTGAGAGGGCTCTCACGCTCGGCGTGGATGGGTATGGTGTCCGAGGTTCGTGATGCGCGCTTTGGCGCAACGGCTCGCCCGGCAACCCGCACCGGGACTATCTGAATTTTTGCCGCTGGAGACGGCCACGCGGAAGCGCAGCGGCTCTTCATGGCCCTCGTCTGTCCGGCGTCGCGACCAGGCATGGCGTATGGGCCGCGTCTGCATATTCCTGAAGGTGTCCTTTGACTATGGCGTAAATGAGTTGGCTGTTGAGACGGCTTGTCTTTTTAAGATTCTCTTTTTTCCGATTGCTCGGGGTGGTCATACCTTTGCAAAACCTCGTCCAGCGCTCCCGCGCTGCTTTCATCAACGCGTGCTGTCTTTTCCCTTTATATAATATCGCTGCTCCGGCCCGGTTTATCAACTAATTTTGCATGGCATTCGTGTGCGTGTATTTTGTTTTTCTGTTCTTTTTTGTTTGGTGGTTAATTACTTTCTTTAAGCAACGTTTTTTTTTTGCTTTGGAATCGACGAGGTCAAGTGCCGCCGGACTGTCGGACTTTTGTCCGGTACGCAACACGCCGCTCTTTCCTGAAGATCGGATCGTATAGGGACCGTAACTGAAGGATAACAGGCGCGGAACGCGCCCGACCAGCGCGGGTCAACTACGGCAGCGTCGAGGAGCCAGACGACCGCAGTCCTGCTTTTACCCAGATGTACGTCTCTGTGTAGCGCGATTCGAAAGCACAGCTTCGCTTTTTTTGGACCAAGGGACGGTCGACCCGTTTCGTTGCCAATCGCACGATCTCAGGCGTGATGGCATGAAGAGGCACAGGTCATGGTATGACCGAGTACCAGTGGGGACTGCTCGGGATGCCGGGTTATGCACGGCGGTAGCCGAATCTATCCGTTAGGGTACCACGCATTGGGAAAGAACAGGACACAGCCTGCTCTCTTCCGACGGGTTGTACACCAGGCGTTATAAGCGCTTGATGACGAGATGTTCGGGACGGAAAGAGATCTGGCCATCGACGCTCATAGGAAGGGCGACAAGGAACCCGGTCGTCGAACAGGCAGGTCAGGCCGAGTCTCCAGAGCGCGCCGGCCGAGGAGACCGTGAGGCGTGGACGCAGGTCGCGCCTGGCGCTCGTCATCTGCCGAGGGGCTCCACCGTCCCATTGGGCGGCTGTCCACCTCCATGCCTCTGAAGGACGCGCCATGGGACTGTGCCTTGCAAAGCTCGCTCCAGCAGGCGGGAGGCGAGGGCGCAGAATCGCCGGAGGCGACGTCTCCGTGCTGGACGCGGACGCACTGCCTAAGGCGCGTGCGCGGCGGCGGAAAGCTGCGAGCGGTGGGCGTGGCCGAATGAATGATAGGCCGCCCACCGTGGATGAAACGCGGGAAACGTCATCCGAACAGGGAGCCGTTACCCTGGAGGTCAGGCAGAAAACGAGTCGCCGTCCAGCTTCGGACACCTGATGTCGGCCCAGTAGTTGCGTCAGTGCCGAGCTGACAAATCAACATGATATATTTTTAACAGGGTTTAAACGTGGCTTTATTGAGAAGTTGAAATGTGATGAATAAATCCAATTTAGCTTAAGGGCAGCTTACGCAGACGAGCTTATTATAATGCCAAGGCGCTGGATACGAGGGGGTCCCATCCCGTGCGAGTCGAGAATGAGTGGGATGACGTGGGCGCCAGCGGATGTGACTGCTTGGCGTGAGTGTGGTGGGGCGCCGAATGCATGAAGTCCGCGTGGATTAATGATGGCCGGGGGGAGGGATTCCCGCGTCGTTATCCAGCGGATCCCTGCCGATATGATTTGCCAGTTGGGTGTGATCCCTGTCAATTGGGCGTATTATCACAGCATCTGGTTCCGTTTTTGCCTCGTTTAAACATTATCACTAGCTCAACAAGTGGAGGTGGGATTCCGTGGTTAAAAACGCATAGCCGTGTTTCTGAGAGACAACCGTTCATGGTGCCTGACCGGACCTACCATCCCGCCAATGTCCCGATCACCCGCTTCATCCTGGCTCTGTGGCTCACGTGAGGGCGTGCTGATGTCGGGTGAACCGTAGTTACAACGTGCCGAGTCGTGTGCTAACATCGTCTGGCTCGTATGCTGACCTTTGAACTCCCCAGTATAAATTTGCTCTTGCGGGGAGGCGTGGCAGCAGCAGCCGGCGGCGCGCAAACATCCAGCGGCGACCTGGCAGCAGCACAGCGCACCCATCCCATTGCAGGCAGCCCTCCCTGCCCCCCCCCCCCTCACAATTGCAATCTCCGGAATAAATTAAGAGCCCCCGGTTCAGCGAAAGGTTTGCCGCCTTTTTATCCCAATGCAGGGCTTTCTGATTTGGAACAAATGCCTTTTGGAACGAGAGCTACTTGTACAAAACGGAAGCTCCTGATTGAGAACAGGTGCATTCTGAATTATCGAGTGTGATTCCTTATCAGAAACAGGTATCATCTTATTCACAAAGGGGAGTTTTCCCTTCAATTCCCAGCTTTGATTTTTTGGCCAATTTCCATCCTCCACCCCGAGCCTCACATCCAGATGCTAGGACCCGTTTTGTGTGCTGCGGTGTTTTTTAAGCTCCAGCACGTGCTATTCCGCCCAACAGCAGTGAAGTGTGACGATGTCGCGGGGCCAACCAGCCGGCTGGCCTTGGGCCGAGGTAATCCTTGCTGACTGAGCTGCCGCGGCAGGGTAATTTGTATGCACGCGCACAGCACAAAGGAATCTCCGGCCAGTTGCAGCCCCCCGAAGGTGTACCCAGCGGCCGCTCACGACCCCTCGCCAGTCAGCCGCGATGATCACCGCAGTGTGCACTGTCGGCGTTCTCCTGCAGGTGAGCTGCACCCAGTTGTGAGACGTTTGGGCAGTGTGCAAAGATCTCGGCCACGGTATCTCGCCTCAGCGGTTACGCCCGCGAAGTGGTTGGGAATATTTTGTAATAAGTTTGGTTTTGGCCCCTGTGGTCTTGGAGCATCCTACATTGCTGGAGACACGTCCGTTTAGTCAGAGAACAGCCGACACCGGCCACGACGTGCCCATTTGTAACCACGAGCTGCCCAGGACAAGATGGGCAGTAACTGCAGCCACGGAATATTTGGCCACCTCACGTGGTATGTCACCATTTTGAGCATGGCTACCTGAAATACCATTCAGGCACACCATGTCGAGATGGGAGTTACTAACATAACACAATACATGGAGGTCTAGGAAAGACGTTTTGAAAGATTGACTAAGCTTTCGTGTGGGCGAGTCAAAGAGAGGCGCACTCCGTATTTCGTAGTAGAAAGTGAAGCTTTTTCAGGGATGCTTAGGTGTCGTATACGATGCAAGTCCGTGTTGTGGTATCCAGAGGCACCTCGCAGTTGGCAAAAATGCTGACAGATGTTTGCGCACGATGCCGTTTGTTTTATCCGATTTGGCGCAGCACATTTCATCGGTGTTGCGCGTACCTTTACTTTCGGCCTAGTAACACATTAGAAGTGTCTTTCACACTACAACACGTTGGTTCGTTGATTTGATTATAGTTTGATTACAGTTAGTATAGCTATCATTGCCACACTGCACGTCCTTGCGTTAATGCTAAACACGCGCTCGGGTGGGGTAAAATCAATCTTCCCAAAGGTTTGTCCGGAATGGTTTGCAAACGGCGCGGCGTAGCCGTGGCAAATTTGGTATAGCTGTAGACCATTGAATAGCGGATCGCCTGACGTCAACAATTTAGACGTACCTTGCAAGGTCTCTGACCTATGGCAGGTCGAAGTAATGTGACCATGGTCAAAGTGGCCATGGTTTCAGCGAAGGCAATTTTTATGGAATCGTTCAGCCTGATCCAGCAGCGGAGTGTTAGCCGAAGCCACGCTTCGCTGAGATACTTTCTTAG